CTAATTAAAGTGAAATAAATCTAGTCTAAACAGACTGTCCATATGTTTTTAGAATCTGTTTGAGGAAATGTCATCCTAAATCAGACCAGTATATTTATGACTGTAGGGTATCTTTTGGATACGATGGTGAAGAAAACAATGAGGAAAAGGCAGTAAAATTTGAGTTGCACAAAATTGCTCTTCAGTTTTGGAGACAGGAAGATAGAGCAGCAGAAGATCTTGTACTTCATACTTCACGCAGGGGTTTAGCAAGGGGAAGAAATCTGCAAGCCAGCCATAACTTCCAAATATGATGGCAAACTGAAGCCTGTACACCTTATTAAAAAGGCATGGGGACAGTGATTCACAGAATATTTTAGTAATGTCAGTGTTTTGCAACTGAAAGGTCAATTGAGTGTTGAATTGTTCAGTCTTTAAGTTTTGTTTTGAACGCCTTTAATTCTCCTGCCTTCTGGATGATTGTTTATAATTGGGCTTTCCTTCAATAATACTGTTTTGGAAGATGCTGATCAACTATGAACAACTTCAAGGCAAGAACAGAAGGGTTCTTGGGGTGGGGTTTTTGTTTTGGGTTTTTTTGGTTTGGTTGGTTGGTCGGTCTGGGAGAGGGATATCCTTTTTAGATGAACTGTGTCCGTGTCCTGCAGGTATATTCAACTGCCGATATGCAGTACGGTAGACTCAGTGGAACGCACTTAGCTTTTGTCTGCCCTGCAGATTACTGTCAATTGCAGAAATGCCTAAGCTGCTTGGCAAGATAAAGTAGCTTGTGGGGAAGTCTGAGCTCTTCACTGTGTCTGGTTCCTGAGTGATTTCATTTAAATTTAATCATTTTGTTTGGGTATCCCTGCTTTGTACTGCAGTCTTTCCTACTTACTTCAGAACTGGTTAAAGCATATCTGGCATTCCTAGTAATAGCGAAATGGGCTTATTTAGCAGCTACAGAGGTCACAGTCACTGCTGCTGTTGTATAGACTCTTTCTCCCAAGGTATAGTAGCTCAGTTTCTGGAGGGTATTTCTGACTCCATTTTATAAGATTATTTTTAGCACTGGTGCTCTTCTTTCTAAGAATAATTTAAGTCAGTGGTAAATATACTCTTGAATTCTGGTGTACAGTGGATCACTTTTCATGAGGGCCATGGCTATTCTTAGCCAATTAGAAACAAAAAAACCCCAAACCTAAAAGCTGTTAAGCATATCAAATGTGACAAAACAGTCCTTGTAATTGGTGAGAAAGAGTCACGATATGAAGACAACTATCTCTGAAATTTCCCTGGTTGAAACATCAGTCTCATTGAAAGATTAACATTGAAATTTAGTGGAAACTAAGCACCAAAGTTGTGGCAGCCCTTTTTCTATATAGAGAGACAGTCAATTGTATTAATGTATTTGCTGCTTCGTTCTGAGCATGTGGAGAAGGGAAGAACTGCTGTGGAGCAACAACCCCTCTCGTTTTCTCTCAAGATAGTCTGGGATGCAGAATGAAGAAAGCAAAAAAATTTCTCCCACAAAACAGGTTGTTCCTTTAAATGCTCCTAAAATACACACTCCTAGCAAATGCAGCCACTCTTTGGTACTTTATTATGTAGGAGGGGTAAAGGAAAGGAATGGACTGAGAAAACGTAACCATTTTTTGTGGCCTCATGAATGCCAGAGCTCAGTGGTGGGTGCCAAAATATTTAGCCTTAGCTTTGCATGGTAGAATTCTGCTGTGGAAAGGCATGTTTGCGTAAATCGTTAATACTTTTCTAGGATGAATGTTCAAAGATGTCAATCTTAATAAATCCTTATCAATACACTCTGTATTGTATACGGCAGATTAACAAGATCTGCCTTTCTCCTCTGAGAAGGTATTTAGAATAGCGTTCTTCATGCTTCAGGATAAAAAAAATATTTTCATTGGTTTGTAGCCCATCGTTTTTGAAAGCTAAGTGGTCTGGTTGTTTTGGTTCGGTTTGTTTTTTTTTTTTTTTTTTTTTTTTTTTTTTTTTTTTTCCTCAGCATAGTGTTGTATCAGCATTTCTTTCGATACCATTTGCTAAGCAAGCCAGTGAATAATCTCTGCTTCAGAGGAGCCATTGTGTTCTTCTGTAATAAACAGAAGACAGCAAGATATAAATCTGTTTTGTTTTCCGTACTCTTAAGAGATTTAATTGACAACTGAATGCAGTGTCTCTCTTTGAACCATTATTTAGTTACCGCATGTGTTTAATTTTGCAAGTGTTCCTGTGGTGTAGCAGTCCTGTGGTTTGCTGGGACTGCAAAAGAGGAAAGGTAGTGTGGTGGGGGATTTTGGGGGGTGAGAGGTGGCCCTGTGGTGGTATTTTTGGTAGCCATTTTCCAGGAAGAATAGAGGCCAGGCTGTCAGCTTAGGAGATGTCAGTTTAGATACTCCCAGACTTGGACTACTGCACCTGCTTTCATTTGTGAGAAAGAGCCAGCTTCATCCATCCAGCTTTCTCCTTGTGGGTCTTTGACTTCCTTTTATTTACCTGATTAACCAGGGCCTAAGGCTAGAATCCTTTAGCTAAAGTTACTTAATGTATTTCCCATATTTTCCTTGCTGCTGCAGGTGTATTAGTTGGCACTGTAGTGGGGAGCTCTCTGAAATGCAAGACATAACAGGAAAAATTGTATTTTTTGAGGCTACAGGGCTACTGTTAAAGTCTGAATTTTGATGTTAATTGTACATAGTGACCCTGGGAACTGAAATACAGGCAGCCAGCCATATTAAAAGTCCACGTGAAGAAAATTGCACCTGTTCAAAAAAAATAACGAGTTGTAATAACATTTGATCAGTGCTAACCAAAGCTGGTTCACAGTGTGTAAAACTTCTGAATGTCATTAGGAGTCATGCAAGTTTCCTAGAAAAATCATCCTTTTTATATATTTTGGGTAGATTTGGATAGAATATTTTTCACTGTGTCAGTTCCTTTTGAGTTTTGTTTTTTTAAAAAATACTCTAAAACAGTCTGAAGAAATATTTCCTGAACTTGGCAGCTGCTGTGCAGAAGCTTGCCTTTTTCTGAAGGGCATTAGGAATTTTCACACGCTTGTTTTAAAAGGCCAAATAGAAGTAATACTCTGGTGCCTGGGGTGCAGATGCACAGCTCTGTTGCTGTAAAAAATGTTAAGCCAGTACAGTGAGTCCTGCTGTTACCTAATGAAACTTCACATGGAGGTTTTTATAAAATGATAACGCTGTATTTCTTTTACTTCAGTGTGTCTTATATATTTTATTTTCAGCTTCAATGAGCATCGCTATTTAAGGGATTTGGTTTCTTGAAGTCCAATTTTTATGGGGTTTGTTTTGTTTTGTTTTTTTCTAAACTGTGTTACTGAAATTGTGCTATAGTTCCAGAGGAAAAACATAAAGGGCATTTGCTGACGTGAGAGCTCCCCAGGAATCCTTGAAGGAAAAAAAAAAAAAAAAAAAAAAAATTGGTATTTTTTTTCTGGTAAACAGTGATTGTGACAACCTTGACTTAAAAAAAAAAAAATATATGTATAGATATGGGTATCGTGGAAGAGACTGTCGAGCCAATGTTTACCTCCTTCCTACCGGAGAAATTGTATATTTCATAGCGTCAGTGGTGGTACTATTTAACTATGAGGAGAGAACTCAGCGACACTACTTGGGTCATACAGACTGCGTTAAATGGTTAGTATATAACATTTGCATGTAAGTATGTGTGTAATAATGCAGAAATTATTTTTTTATTCTTTCCTACTGTATGTCTGAGCTCATTAATGTCATCATAATTGTAGTTATTTTCTGTTTCATCAGTCCCAGTAGATTTCACTGTAGTAAACACTACGCAAATGAATGGTGCTAGAGCAGTTCATGCTTAGGGTTTCTGGCTTAAATGCAAAACAACAGGACATGTAGACAATCTAAGAGTGCCAGATTAGAGAAAGGATCTTAGTGTAAATTATTCGAAATGGATGTCCCAGAAATTAAAAATTGTTGTCAGCCTAATTCTAAATCAGTGATGTACAGGCAGTATGGCAAATGTGTAGTCATAAAGGAGAATTAGAAAACCAAATGGAAAACTGAGCAATAATTTTCTCATTTTTTAATACATGTAAGTACCCATCCAAGTATTAAGACTGTCCGGGAAATTAGAAAGATGTTTGCAAAACAAAACAAGAGAAGCAGGGAAATTGAAGCCAACATCACTGTGGGCGCAAAGGCAGTTGCTGACTTTACGATGTTAGTCTGAAGAGTAGTACACACAATGTAGTGGTGAACATAAGCTCCCTACTCTATCTGAATGGAGAAGAGTTGCCATCTAAACCTCTTTTCTCCTGGCTGTGCTTTGATAACTGTAATTGCTTCCTGGGGGAGGAATGCTGTCAGTCTTGTGTTCTTCACTTTCATTAAAAAACCAGACTGGATTGTAAATGTTTTTGGTGTCCATCACTCTGACCTCTTCAGGCTCCCCCCTGCTCCCCCTTTTCTGTTTCAATGGCTTTCTTCACCTTTGTAATTTTACAGAGAAAGCAAATAAAATGATCAGTCAAAAAATCACTAGGACTAAGAGGATGTGTACTCTGAAGTCTGTTTCTTCACATCAGCTCTAAAGCAAAATGTGATAATCAACAGCAGATTTTTACTCACACTAGTAGTGCACCGTACTGGAGAATTTCATTAGTACAGTTATGTCAGTAACTCATTTCAAGTGGCAGTAATCCCTGACTCCTGGGTGCACAAGCCCTCAGCCAGCTTTTCAGCTGTTTTTTCCACAGGCTCATGCTATCTGTAGGTTTAGGTATAAAATACGCTCTAGTGTTTATAAATACGGCATATAACTACGTCTAGGAAGCTCATCGTGAGACAATATTTTGTTACAGTGGACTCCCAATGTAGTGGAAACCTTAGATTTGTCAGAGCACATGTGGAGGTAGCTCTTCTGGCACTCCTGGTTTTGTGCCAGCAGCCATCGCAAGAGCCGGATTGACCCATTAGTACCATGTATAATGACATAGTCTGATGAAAACCATTCAAGCTGTCTCATTGAAAGTGGGATTTAGGATCATAAGTGTCTTCATGGGCTTCTGTTGAGAAAGGAAAAAAAAATTTACAAAAAACCTCTCAGTTTTGAAGACCTATGACAGCAAAAGCAAGTCATATTTCTGTCTGTCTTAGTCTTGCAGTTCATCCAGACAAAATTAGAATTGCAACAGGACAGTTAGCTGGAGTGGATAAAGATGGAAGGGTAAGTAATAGAGCTGTTGAGCAGTAGTATCTTGTTTTGAAAATCAGGAAAAAGTGTTTTGGTTTTTCTTAATCTCATCATCACCTTCTGTTTGCAGTTTATTTTATGCACTGCATTTACTGAGATATTTTGCTGTTTCTAAGGTAACAGCCTATATCTCTAGCAAAACCCAGTAACAGCTAAGCACTCAGCCATACATCAAAAAGAGCAGAAGCTCATAAAGTCCTTTATCTGTGACATAGGAAACTCAATTTTAATTCTGCGAGTAAATGTGAAGCTTGTAATTGATTTATAAGGCCACTTCATTTCTGTCACATTTCTTGCAATAAGCCTTCTCCCAGAGGAGAACAAGTCCCCAGTTCTGTGGGTCAGTGTACTCTTAAGGCTTCATGAGAGGAACCCAACTTTGAGAATTCATGGAAGGTGTGTCAAGCTTTCCTACAAACTGCCTCATTTGAGAGCAAGTGTGTTTAAATGCTCTTGTCCCTGGCTGTTGGCGAACTCTGTCAGAATTTGAATAATTGGATTGTCTTAATGAAATTATAGACAGAATAAAAAAAAAAAAAAGAGGCGGGGGCGGGAAAGACAGATACCATGAGGTGTAGAAGCCCATTAAATATAACCCTTATTCAGATGTTCAACTCAATTTCTTAGATTTTGTAAGAAATTGGTGTGGGTTTTTTTGTATAGATATTGTTATGATTTCCACTGAACATTTGTTGAATCTCTTGTTAGGGCTGGTTGATTTGTTTTTCCGTCAGTGGGATGATTTATTGTCACTTTCTATGGTGAATGCTGTCCTTAAACCAACTTAATTCCCACTTTATTTGTGATTGTTTCACATTTATGAAGCTAAGCTGGTTTGGGATAGGACTTGTATGAAATATAACTATGGAGATTTTCATTGAGTGGTTGGTGATGGTTAGGGGACTTGGTGCACTAGGGTTGTGGGTTTTGGTTGTTTTTTTTTTTTTCCTACTTTGTATATTAAAAAAAACAAGATTTGATCATTATTTTCAGCTGCTGCATAAGATTACTAGGTCTGGGGTCTGAAATGCAAGATGACTCTTCCGTTATTTGTTCAATGACTTAAATTGGGCAAAGATTTATTTTCACAACTACAAAACGCTACCATACTTAATTTCTCACCTCAACAGCACTGCTGCCATGTTTGTAGCCCAGACATAGGGAGCGAGATTGTCTTGACTCTCACCTTTTGAGCTTCAAGATACTATCCAGCGGCACTGTTAGCACAGGTCATCCTGCATTTCGGTCTGCAGTTTGTAATTCAGATAGCATCTGCTTAACAAAACTTGACACCTGCATATGATGCTTTCACTGTTGATGACGCTGTTTGTCCCATTGCTTTTTCACGCAGCCTCTGCAGCCCCATGTTAGAGTATGGGACTCGGTGAGCCTGGTGACACTGCAGGTTATCGGCCTTGGGACTTTTGAACGTGGAGTGGGGTGTTTGGATTTTTCAAAAGCGGTAAGATGGGTGCAATTACTTGGTGTGTTAAATAATTTATCCGATCCTATGTAAACGAGAAGGAAATTTCTGAAGATTTTTGTATGTGGTTGTCTAGCTGATCTGTTTTGGTATTAAAAGTGTGTCAGTAGAGCTTATGTATGCTTTATAAAACCAGCTGACAGTGAGCTGGCTGGAAAAACAGGAAATGGCACATGTAAAATTGCGGTAACAAACTAGCACAGTGAATAAATAGCAGGCAAGAAAAGCCTTAGCTAGAAATGGAAATCTGTGCTGGGTTTAATGGTTTGGTTTTGTTTGTGAGGGGCTTGGTTTTTTTTGTTTGGATGTTAAAAACAAGCTTGTTAGTGAGATTCGTGAAGACAAATATTAGTGAGTCCTGATAGAAAGGGTAACTTTTCTGCTTGCACAGCTGGAGCAGGTTTTTATCCAGCAACAGGAAATAAAAAAAAAAAATTATTTTGTGCTATTTTTTCCTGGGGAATAATTTGTTCAATTTGTGCCTCTGCTTTTACATAGGAAAAAAAAAAGTGTAAGTCTTGTTACTGGCCCCACAGAATTTATTAGAAAAATCAGTAGCAAATGGAGATGTGCTACTTGGCATTGATAAAGTTCTCATTTCAAAATTGGCAATGAGTTTATTTTTTGTAAAATATGTGTATATTTTAATCTTTAAGCTGCCTTTATATTTTTGCCAAAGCACTAAGACATATCAGACCTCCTGAAAACCCAGGCTGTCGTTCTTGCACCCCAGCAAGAAGAACTAATAGGTGTAAAAAATAAAAAATGCAGAAAAAGAATGTCTGCTGTATTTTGCTAATAGAGGAAGAGATTCACAGGACAGCTGAGGTGGGAAGGGATGGCTGGAGATCACCCCATCCACTGTCCTGCTCACAGCAGGCTCTGCCAGAGAAGGCTGCTCAGGGCTGTGGTCCAGCTGCGTTCTGGCTATCTCCAAGGATGGACACTCAGCAGTCTCGTTGGGTGACCTGTTGAAAAGAAATACGTACACATTGAAATGTTGCTTAGTTAGTTATAGCTAGGTTTTGTCTTTCAGTAAATAAAAGATTTTTTTTTTTTTTTTTTTTTACAAATAAGGGAGTAGCATAAATAAAATAGAATAATGTGAGAGGAATGCTGTCATTCCTGTCATTTTAACAAATCAATAAAACTTTTACACTCAGATACATTTTTTTTTTTTTCCAAAGTGAATAAATACATGTTCCATCCTTTTAGAAACAAAACAAAACACTAAGGTATTTTTGAGGACTAGATTTTAGTTTTTATTAGTTTGTTCTGCAGCTGAAACTGATTTTAATACCTTATTACAGTCTCATATGATTCCTCAGTGGACTGAAACAGTGAATGTGCAGTATCTAGAACTGTGTTTTTACCACATAATTCCATTAACCCACGCAAGAGCTGTGTGTATCGCCAATGCTGTCTTCAGGGTGTCTTTCCACTTAATAATTGACATGTATATTTGCATATTACTGCTCATAATAGTATTAGTATTTGGGAATAAAAATTTCAGCCACCTCTATTTTCATAATTTGTTAGAGAATGCGGTTGAACTGCAAGAATCAACTTTAAAATAAATAAGGCCTCCTCCAAATCTTTCTACACATGTCCTTGAAACAACTGGTTTGTGCAAGTATGTGTTGCTGTGAATAAGTATGTTTTTGTTCTAAGATTTTCTGTTTGCTCTTTTGATTCTGTGTAACCATATTTACTATTTTGTTGTAAAATTGTTCAAAATAAGCTGTTTCAGTTATTTAATACCGTAGATGCCAGTCTTTCTGCTCTGTAAGCATCACTTTATTCAGAAAGTGTTGCCTTTGCTGCAGTTTTACCAACTATATGATGAAACTGCTAGTACTTAATGCTTCATGAGGAAAAAATGAAATGTGATTACAAAATTTGATAAAGTTGTGTATATGTGGTGGTGACATTTAAGAAAAAAACACAAGTGGAGCTGTGTGTCTGGCCTCTGAGACCTGAGGAAAAACAAAATATTTGCAGAATAGAAAAAGGGAGAAACCTCTTTGCTCCTAGCATAATATTGCAAACAAGAAAGCAAAAAAAAGACAACGACACAAAAACACACTAAAAGGGAAAGACTTGGTAAGATACCTTTTAAAGCTTTCCTAGAATATTATTTGAAGCATGGTCATTTTTTGTGAAATTATGCAAAAATCTATGTCTGTCTTTAAGAGAAAAGGAAAATACCAACTATATCGGGCTTATAATTACTTTAAAAGGACTTGCTTAATTTATATTTGTACCTTAGTGGTTTTGAAAATACTGCTGCCCTGCCCTGTTTCTAAATGGGGTATGATAGTACTTTGTCAGCACTTCTTTTTTTCTTTTTCCTTTAGGATTCCGGTACTCATTTGTGTGTAATTGATGACTCTAATGAGCATATGCTCACTGTGTGGGATTGGCAGAGGAAATCAAAAATAGCAGAAATAAAGGTAATTATTGCACAAATTAATATTCTGAAATACAAGTGGTTTTATTCCTGTAAATACAACAGTTTGTGAGATACACATTTGATCTTACTTGGAAACTGCAACTGTAATACTGCTGGCTTGTGTAAGGGCACAAAAGAAATGTATTCTTAACTTGTATATTGGAACGGTTTTGAGTATTGGAGCACTTGTAATTACATTTTATTCATCCCTAAGAGCCAATCCAAATAAAGCAATTCTCTAATATTTTCCTAATTTAAAAAAAATAAATCCTGGGAATTTTAAGAAACTTTAAGATTCACTCTGTAGTTGTTTATTTAAAAAAAAAAATACTTTTAGACATTTCTTATTTTCATTGCTGTCTGAATTGAGTTCCAGACATTGATTCTCGGTACATGTGTCTCTTCTCATTTGAAGTCCATTAGTACTTTTGTAGATTGCAGTCTTGTTTGCTTTCCTGTTTCCTTCATAACCTTCTAAATTTCTGATCGATGAGAAGCATTCAGAGGTGTTGCGCTCAATGTTCATGTAAAGTTGATTCCACTGGAAGCACCCAATCCAATAATAACTTCCTATTGAAGTCCATATTTTGAGACATCTTGCTTTGCATTATACAATATCAGGCAAGGAGATATTACGTGGGTGTGGAACTGAGTATTTTTTAATTTTTTTTAATCATGAGTCAGAAAATGGAATACTTTACAAGTATATATGTCTATATGATTCCAAACTTGCAATTTCAGATAACAAAATCAGGTTGGTTTGACCCATTTTCTTTAAATTATGTTGACCAATACTAATTATATTCTATTCTGTAAGTCTGAATGTAATTCTATGTCAGTATTTTCATTTCCTTGCTGATATTTAATGTGAAACTATTCAGCATGTGGCTTCTATTTCCCATTTTATTGACATTGTTTTGACTATTTTCACTCTCCAGGGAGTTCCTTGGTGTTTCAGAGTTGGCTAAAAACAATTTGTCAGGGACAGCTTGCCCTTCAGTACTAACTCAAGTTTAGGACTTGATCTTACAGCATCTTAAGCACCTTCCGCGATAGGTGTTGTGAGCAGAGTTTCATCCCTTGAGCTAGGGTGCAAAACGAAAGCTTTCTCTCAGCTGAACTCCATTAAATTTTTCAGTCCGTAGTTTCCGTGTGATTTGTGGATATAGGAGATCTGCTCATGTGGAGGAAACTGTGTGTGAGAAGCATAATTCAATAAATATGGCCATCAAAAAAAATGAAACTTAGGAAGATTGTTTTCCTAAAGCGAGCCAAAAATGGTTAGGTGGGAAAGGGTACTCCCACGGGTGCTGATTCAGCAGCACTTTTATGTATACTCCTTTAAAGCATGGGCTTAAATCCCATAGAAGTAAATGCACTGATGCATTTACTTAAGTGTTTTGCAGAGTCATTGCCTCCAGGAGATTGTCTTCAAAGAATTGGTTGAATGTACATTAGAAGTTAGATAAATGACCAATCACTTTATTATGTTTGTAAAATCTATTGGTAAAGGATGAAATACTCACTGAGATGTTAGTAATTCAGTAACAGTATATGCAGCTAGTAAAAATACAAAGGTGGGACTCCACATTTCAGAGCTTTGAGTTATGCAGGTTTCTTCTTTTCTTCTTTGTGAGGAGGAAAGGAGAGGAAGAAAGAACCCAAAAGAATTTTTACAGAATTTTAGAAAGAGAATGATGAATATAATCCTACTATGTTACCATTGCCTGTTGCCTCTGTCACAGCTTTGTTATCCAGAATAGCAAACTAGTCTGTGTAGAAACTAAGCAGGGTTTTCAACTCCAAAAAAGTATCTTTTGTACATCATTCGCTTTCCATGGCAGAAGTCTTAGTTGTTCCAGAGGGCAGAAGCTTTTGTGATTTTAAAAAGCGAATATAGAACCCTGACTTTTCTACTGAAGTTTTATAAAGATTTCTTAGGAATGTAAAAAAAAAAAAATATGGAACAGTTATGGATTCTTTCAAGCATACAATGAGCTGTCTAGTTCCTCATATCTCTGTTTGGAAACTTGGGATTTTACATGTGTTTCTAGTTGTTCATGTCCCATCTGAATAAATATTATTTCTGTTATTATTTCAGACTACAAATGAAGTTGTTCTTGCTGTAGAATTCCATCCAACTGATGCAAATACCATAATAACATGTGGCAAATCTCATATATTTTTCTGGACCTGGAGTGGCAATTCATTATCAAGGAAGCAAGGGATATTTGGGGTAAGAATGTCTTGATATCAGGTCGGTTTTAAATCAATGGAATGATCTGCTCACGCTTTCTATAAATTTCCTCTGTTGGCACCATGTACTGTTTGAGCAGAGAGGTAAACAAACAAAAAAGGTTACATTTTGCTTACATGTATGCAGGGTGTATGGGTGTGGATACATTATACTAATTACATAAAGAGTACAAGCAATTATCCCTTTCTTTTGCTTATTGTGTTTCAGAAATATGAAAAACCCAAATTTGTTCAGTGTTTGGCTTTTTTGGGAAATGGTGATGTGCTCACTGGAGACTCAGGTGGGATAATACTTATATGGGGCAAAACTACTGTAGAATCTACTCCAGGAAAAGGACCTAAAGGTAGGATACATTCACAGTTATTTGCAGATTTTAGGTAGTTTGTAGAAGACAATCATGAAGGATTGCATGAGAACAGGAATAGGGAAACAGGCCTGACAAAGGGTGTACACTTCCTGTTATTAACAGCTGGTACTAAACTCTTCAAGTCTTGTGAATTAGCTGACTTAAGAGCAATGCAGAGTTTCTCAACAGTTAATGAGACTGTGCCTGAAATGAATGAAAACTACGTTATCGAAATGTTTTGCATTTAAAAAAAATGTGCAGTTAATCAGCTTTCCTTTCACCCTCAGATTTGAAAAAGGCTGTAGGATCAGTTTGAGGATTCTGCAGGCTACCTTTGTCTCTGAAGGCTTATGTTGTACCACGCTTAGTCTCAGAGGAATACCATTAAGTGTTGAAGCTGATGTTAATAGGACTTGTATGCGAAGGAAAAAATATAATGCGTAGTTGTAGCAGTTACACAAATAATAGTATCTGGCTTAGCAGATACTGAAGTCTTGGCTGTAAAATATACTTTAAAACCCATCTTATTTGAAATTTGGGTTAAACTTACTCTTTAGGGCAAAGCTTTTATAAAAAAGAAAGGAAAATGATTCCTTACCCAACACATGCAGACCTGGCACAGTTGAGCCCTAAGGTAACTTATAAATTCAAGGATAATTTATTTTACTTGGCAGCTATTTCAAACACTCTGGTTTAAACTGGTATGCCAGGAAAACATTCATGTAAAAAGTAAATTTTTAATGGTAAGTCTGTTTTTGTAGGTAAATCTTTTTCTTGTCTTTCAAGCTAACTGAAATGGAAAAGTAATTTAACAAATTATCTGATGCTTAATTTTGAAGTTCTTATGCAAAAATAACCTTTTCCTAGTATAATCTTAAAAGATATCGAATAGAACATTTATTTACATTGGCTTAATTAAATGTGGGATCTTTTACTTCATTTATGACATTAGATTGGTCACAAGACTTCATCTCAAACTCTTTTTCACAGTGCGAGAGCATGCTGACTTGAACTGACTTGAGCCATAGGCAGAGTCAGCGAAGTTAAGCTGGTATTTATTTGGGTAGTGTTTTAGGCTTTTTCTGTGATTGCTATTTGAAAATATTTTAAGTCTCAAAGCACCAGAATCTTGTTTTTTTAAAAATATACTTTCCTACAGTGATTCTTTTGACACGAAGACCACATTGGGATGCAAAAGGCTTCCTTTGCTACCTTTGTTGTTTAATTTTCCCATCTCTCTCTCTTTCTCCCTAGTGTTCTCCTTTGGGTAGACTGCTATATTGACAGATGCTAAATGCTGGTTATACTATTTTTAAGTGAGGCAACATCCAGCATTAGATATTGGGTTCACGCATCCTGGAAACTTTGCTATAAATAATTTGCTTTTTATTCCCATAAGACTATAGACGAGTCTTTGAGTTTCTTTTAATAAAATAACTTTAATTATTTTCTAATAATGACTTGCTAAATATTTATTGACTTTAAAGGACAGTTTCTCTTGCATCTGGAAAAAACTGTGTTCCCTTGGATAGCAGAGAAATGAAAGCATTTTGCAAATAGTTGTTCTTGCCTTCACAAGTTGCAGGACGATCTATCTCAAAAAAGTTTCTGTTCAGAAAGGCAGGTCCTTTGTTTTATCTTTTTATCCTGTAAGAAAACACTACCACCTTGTGTTTGCAATACTAATGCAATACTAATAGCCTGACAGTCCAAATGTAATTATTTATTATACGCTGTTACTTTATTCTTCTGCCAAAAGGCACAGCTTCTTATAAACCCCAGGTGAATAAATGAGTTAGTGTTCTTTATTATTTTCTTTTTGTGCATGTAGGAGTATATCAGATAAGCAGACAAATCAAAGCTCATGATGGCAGCGTGTTCACACTCTGTCAAATGAGGAATGGGATGCTGCTAACTGGAGGTGGGAAAGACCGGAAGATCATCCTGTGGGATCATGATCTGAATCCCGAAAGGGAAATTGAGGTAAGAAGGCAAGAGTGACAAAGAAATTGCCTTGAGCAAGGTATTGACTAGCAAGATGGAGCCTTCCCACCCTTTGGATGACCGGTAGTTAGGATGATAGAATATCTTCTGGTTGCTGTCTTTTTAAGTGGATGACAATGTTTTATTATAAAAGTGTTTAAATTTTCAGCCTATAAATGAGAGCCTATATGTGCTTTCAGTTCTCCTCTGTTTAAGTTGAACAGAAATTTTAAGGTTTTTCTTTCCTCCAAGACCCTGCTTAGTTTCTTTTATTCATTCATCCCTTCTTTGAGGATACTCTTTAGTATTGCCTGTGTTTTTGTAAGTTTGCCTGTCTGGAGAAAGACAATGTTACCAGGTTTTGCATGTTTTAATAGAATTTTTGACATAAGGCAAACAATTGGTGGGGTACCTATGGGCATTCTGTAAGAATTAATGATTAATAAGCTATGTTGAGGAGCTTCTTTGAACTTTATCCTAAAACAGGCGTTAAGTGAATATGTATGTCTTTGTGCTTTGGCTATATGGCAATGCTGGGTAAACGGGGATGAACTGGGAAAAAAATTGCACATTATGGATTTTAAAATACTTTTTTTTTTTTTTCCTGACAATAAGATGACCTCTTGAAATAACGTGTTCTTCTTAAACAGTTGTTCTAATAATGGTTTATTCCACTTACCTAGCGTCCATTTATAGCAGCATTTTTTCCTTAACACGTATGTTTAGTTCCATCTAGAGTTTGTTATTACTTTGAATCTAATAGTGACCTTTAGAAAACATAGCTGAGAGTAAGTGAGCATTGACTATCATATACAACTCTTAGGCTTAAGTAACACATTCTTTTCATATCAGTGTCTCTGTTTACCTTTTGTTAATAATATTATGTTAAAGCTAATTTTTTATGTTGAGAAATATTACCAGAACCCTGACAGACAACTTTCTGAATGATTGCATTGATTTTCTGTCTTCTGTGGCTAATATTAAAGTTAGTGTATTTTCTAACCGTAAATCATTTAGAAAACCAAACAAATGCACACTGTAAAATAAAAGTGTATTAGCATTCAAGTATGCAATAAACAAACTCAATAAAATTTGGAGTCGTTGCTGATGTAAGGCATATGAACATTTACTTAAGGCTAATCAGGAAGCATTAAGAAGATCAGGAAGCGTTTACTGTGTGCTACAAGGTTTTTCTTATTTTTCACAACATGTTTTGAAAAGTAAACAGTAACTATGTGTTCTTCCTGTTCTTATGAGTTGTAAGGTTGTGGAGTGCATTTGTTTAGTGTATTTGACACTTAAAAATCCGTGTAATTTAATTTGTAATTTTTTCTACTGAGACTTATTAAAATGGCATAACTGTGATCGTTTTGGAGTGAGATCGTCTTGTATGCCTGTACTGAACAAATAAATGAGGTAGGTTTTGGGTCAAGTCCTGATCTAGTGTATACATGATTAGATTGTTGCTTTCCACTTGGAGAACTCCAGTTCTGGTACTGTCATTGTGCACTATTTGTGGCCTTCAGAAATAAGTGTCTATCAAGGTGGGCGATGTGGTTTTACAGATCTTTCTTTTCCTAGGTTCCTGACCAGTATGGAACAATCAGAGCAGTAGCGGAAGGAAAAGCAGATCAATTTTTAGTGGGTACTTCACGAAACTTTGTTTTGCGGGGAACATTTAACGATGGTTTCCTAGTAGAGGTACAGGTGAGCACAACTTTTTTCTTTTTTTTTTTTTTTTTTAAAACTATAACCTAAAAATGTAAAGGCTTTCCCTGCTGCTGTGTTATTTTGAGAGAGTCTTTATTTTATTCATTATGAAATCGTATGTGTTTTCTTTCCAGGGACATACAGATGAACTCTGGGGACTGGCATCCCATCCTTTCAAAGACTTATTTTTAACATGTGCCCAAGATAGGCAAGTTTGTATGTGGAACTCTGTGGACCACACACTGGAATGGACCAGGCTGCTAGATGTATGTCAACCCTTTAATGTTAAATATAAGGCTGGAAAATAGGAAAAAGCTTTAGTTGCCTGCAACACCCTTGTCCCATCTGATTGCAAGAGAAGCAAAAATCCTGTAGTTGTGGATTTAAAAACAGCTATTTGGAAGCTTTGATAAACTTAACCAGGCTCATCAGACATTGTATAGACTGTAATGTGGTTACCATTGTCTGATGCCATTCTGACAATCCAAGTTAAATAAAACTTAGTCCTTTGTTCTTGTTGCACTTCAACTTTTTTCCCAATTATTCAAACAATCTGAAGAGGATATCATACTGTTGTGAAAGGTTTGGATTTAGATGTCCTTCCTTACTGTCATTGTTTGTTTCATATTTTGGCTAGTTCTGTCCTAATACACAAGCAAAAGTATCTTTTTACACAGAAATTTACATGTTTTACTTTCAAGAAGCTCATATAGTGCATGTCACTGATACATTAAAAGAAAATATGTCTGAGGATTATAAGCATGCTGCTGATTGGTTTTTCCCTGTGTCAGTTCACCTTAGACTTTTAGGGTAGCTTTGGTATAAGGAGAGGTGTTTGACTGTAAGGTAGCGGGTGGGTGAATGACGTCTCTGTGCCTCTCTTTTCAGGAACCGGGGCACTGTGCTGACTTCCATCCCAGTGGAGCAGTGGTTGCAATAGGAACGCACTCGGGCAGGTAAACGCCTTTCAACTGAGTTGTGATGATTGAAAGTTTAAGGCAGACAGTTTGATACTACGCATCTTATATATTGGAATTCCTTTGCTTTTTATTCTCGTTGCTTGAGGTTAAGTAGCTTAAAAAGCTTGGGGGAAGAGGGCAGATCTTTCTTACATGGGTTAGATGAAGACAGAAAGATTATTTGACTGTTGTTAGGCTGTTTTGTTTTTTTAACTACTCTTTCATGAAAACTCAGATCTTGAATTTTTTTTTAAACTATTTTTTTGCAAGGGTTTCCATGAGCACTCCATATTGGCTTTACCAAGTATCATGTATTTCAATATTGTGTGTGTACATGACATTAATTTATAAGACAGATACAGTACAGATCTTTCTTTTTCCCAAATCAAACACGCTTGCAACCTTTTAAATTGACATAGAGAGGCAAGTGAACAGGCTAGGATTTTGATTTTTGCGTAAGACAAAGTTCAGCATGGCACATTGCTGCAATGAAGTGCTACCGAGCTGGTCATATTCTTCCTGAAATTGTTGTGTATTTCAAAGCCATCAAAACACAAGCTGAATCTTTTAACTCAGGCTTCTTTCAGTGATGGAAAAAATTTGTTTTAATTCGTAGTCAAACTCTGGCATGCTATCATCTCCCAAGAAAGGAGTCTTATGCAATAGATTTTTAGCAAGTACCAATTCAAAGAAAAAATAAGATATTCATAGCATTAGAAAGGTGAGAGGAGTGGATATTAAATCTACTAGCATTTTTATTCTGTTTTTCAGTTATACCTCATGGTCAACAACTCGATGATAAAATAATGCATAGTGCATGTAAGGAAATTGGGATTTTTTTTTTTTTGTGTTTAATTCACCCCCTAGATTTTTTTTTAATACCTAACCTCATGCCTAAAAACCATTTAAAGTTTGGTTTTTAGAACTGCTGAGCATGTGCAACACCCTTAACCTTTCCTGGAAAAATGAAATGTTAAATACTTTTTAAGGAGTTTCCTTCTCCAAGATGAAGATGCAGTCTGCACTAAATTCATTAGGTACAGCATCAGGCTAGAAAACCTAGCTTACCTTCCTAAGAAGACTCTTGCTGAGCTCTAATATTTGGTTTCCACATTGTACCTTTCCTTTTTTTCATCTCTTTCTGATTATAGCATTAAATTGAACAAGTGTTTCTACCTTAATTAAACAGAGCAGAAGATACTGGCCTATTAGTACTTGAAACAGGGAAAAGGGAAAAGAAGGTCAGGCTACATTTCTTGAGAGTTATTAGATGTTTTTGAAATTACATCAAAGCACAATGAAGGCATATTGAGTGGCTGCAGCATTCAGTCTTGTGTTTGCTTTTGACTTTTTTTTTTCCTCTCGCAGAGCGTTTTACTTTTTCAGTTAGCACTTTTCAGTTTAAATTTGTATTTTTTAATTACTTGAGGCAACCGGTTTATACTGTGTGGGATAAATTTATGATGATGGCCTTGGGTTCTGGGGAGTTTCTGTGGGGTTTTTTTTGGTTTTGTTCTGTTTTGGTTTTTGTTTGGTTTTTTTTTTGCCTGTTCTTGGAACTGAGCAGTTACATTTTCACCATTATATTTGAAATTGGCTGATTCAACAATAGGTTTGAGATATACAAATGAAACTGAATTGAAATGAGGCCTGGTAAGTGTACAGGTGTATCAGAAATAAATGAAGTTGTGAATCAAGATAAACAACACAGTGTTCAATTTACTGCCTAACCAGCGGCATCACGCGGTGCTTTCTGTGCCAGATAATCCGGTCCAAGGGAGTTATTTCCCAAGGCATGAGGGCTGCATGATCTGTCTCGATTAATGTATGAGAGAAAATAGTCTTAGGCCCTTAACAAGTTACCTGATTCATAGGCCAAAATGCATAAAGCCAATATTAAATGAGTCTAATTTGTTTAGAGTTCAATAAACCTTGGATGTGTCTGTCTATTGTCATTCTAGTGCTGCTCTGCTTCCAGTACAGAGGTCTGTAAGACAGGGGTAGGGAACAGAGCATTAAGAAAGTTGGGTTTGGTAGTTAAAAATTGTGACGTCTGAAGAAAACTGCATTTTCTACCTCTCTTCCCATTCTTGTCTGTTGTTTCGCAGCGGTGTGTTTTTATCAGGCAAATAGGTCATGTTTTTGGTGTGCTTTTCACGTACCACTTGCCATAATGAGTATTTCAGTATCATTTCCCTTTTTGGGCTGTCTGCAAATAGTCTGCTGCAGGTTTTGTTAACCACTTCTTTACATACCTTCTGTGTGCCTGATCATCAATTGCCTGGGATTAAGCTTGGTTTGGAAAGAACTAATACTTTTTGTGGATCCTGGAAATGCACAGCTGAAAAGCTAAAAGGGCTGGCAGTCAGAAATCCTACCAGAAAAGTGGCTTTTTCAAGGCACTATACAGATCCTTTTGCCATGCTGCCAGTGGTATTGTTTGCCGGAAAGTAGACCTTTCTGTGACTAATCATGTAGAATATCTTGAGTGCTGTGCGCTGCAGAAAAAAGACTAACAAGATTCTTACAAAAATACTAACATTATTAAGAATACTGAGGACTGGAGGACAAGACCAGCGTAAGCCAGAGCCACAAGGAGGTAAATCAGTCAATAGAGCTATTGAGATTTATACCAGTTCAGCATCTGTTGTGGTATTAAGATGAAGAAGCCTAAATATCCTAGGGAACCGATCTTGTAAGATGGGTTGGTTTGTTCACTCTGATTAATGCCTTGCAGCTTCAACATCCAGTATTATCTAAACGTGGGAATTGCCAGTGTAAGTGCAAAAATACATTACTACTTTGAATACTGTTTCCCCTGGTGATTTCATCAGAAAAATTCTGCTTTCACAGATATGAATTATCAGTAATAAATATGTGTCATGGGTCAGAATTTTATTTTCCAAAAGAGAGTAGTTTAAGGGGTTTTGTTTCTAAAAGCATGTATTTTTTATATAAGTTGTTAGTATTTTTGTTTAAAGCAATGAAATGGGAAGACAAGAAATGGATGAAAATGGCAAAAGTTCTGTCTTGTTTACGTGAACTCACAAACAAGTTAAGCATGTTAAGTTTGGTAACAATTGCGAGAAAATCAATAAAAACCAGAAAAAGCAAAAGAGCTACTACCTTACAGCTGGGATACCATTCATCCATTTCTTTCATCTGGTTTACGGATCAGAAGTTCACTTGGCAGCCAAGCTTTGCATTTCACAGCCCAGTAGGACTTTTTCAGGGTCAGCTGCCATTTGCGTGTTGCATACCTTCGTGTTGGAAGGAAGATCCTCTCCCGAAGCACGGTCTCAAGGTGGACCCCAGCTGTTTGTGAGCAGGGCCTCTGTGGGGCATGCCGGTGACCTGCTGTAGCCGCTTAGACTGGAGACACATTTCATGAAGACAGGCTTTCTTGCTGGCGGTTGCGATGTTTGCCACGGCACTGGGAGAGTTTGGAAGACTGAAGAGAGCATGTCTGATTACAGCATGTGGAGGCACCAAGAAACAGCTGAACTAGATGTGACGAATGCTTCCTTTCTTAAATTCATATCAAAATTGTCACGGTGCACTGACTGTTTCCTCGGTCAGCTAAGATTGCTGCTCATATCTCTTGTTCAGAAAAGTTTCTGGAGAAGGACTGGTGTCACAAAATGCTGTCTCCTAATGCCAAATGAAGGTCACTGTGCACTCTTAAGAGCAGCAGCAGTTTTGCATTGTGTTTGATACCACACAATACCACCTCTGTGCTTTCAGTAAAATGGGTGGTTCTTGCATGTTTTTCTGGTTGCATTTTAGACTTCGGGTATTGTCCATTTTACATAATATTAACTGGAGGATTACCTGGTTCAGTAACAGCCTCAAAGGACCAACCTAAAGAGCTGGTCTCAGAGCCAGCATCAAGAAGCATGTCTCTGCTGCAGCAGCCTCCCTACCTTGCCCTGGCTTTGTATTTTGGGACACAGAAGGCTCAGCCCTCCCCTTGGCTGCCTGGCAGAAGTGCTGTGCAGCACAGTCACCCGCGGGAGAGCATGGGAAGGGGATACCCATCCACTTTGTGGAGGAAGGCTGCTTTTGGTTGTTACTGTGCTGATAATCAGTTTTTATATCCAGGCACTGCAATTATGCTGCTTGAAATAAACAGGCATCATGGTGTGTCATCTTGCTAGATAAATAGATTTTACAGTATAGTGCCTAAGTTTTCTAGTAAAGCAAAAGGTCTTCCTATCTCCTGTTCTGCTGCCTGTGCACAAGAGGTGTGTTGCTGACCTGGGCTGAAGCAGTGAGGAGCCTCCACCCTGTGCTGGATTCAGGAAAACACAAATACGAATGAGACAGTGGGGCACTGGCTTTCACACCAGCTTCTCGTGTTGCTTGAAAACCAGGTGACTTCAGCTCAGCGATGCCTCCGTGTGTGTTCTTCACACTTCTGTTCTTGTCCCATCAGGATGTACTTTTAGAGCAGTTTTGCTGTCATGATGGAGTGATTGTTTTTCTTTCTATGGTGGCAAAATGGCATAGGTACTCTCTTTCTTTCCCCCTGCCAAACCCTTTTGTAGTTTTGGGTCTTTTGTTTGTTTGGGGTTTTTTTGTTTGGTTGGTTGGGTTTTTTTTAAACATTTATTTTGGTTTCTTCTTTAATATTCACACCACATCAGGGTTATCAGCCAGGTAACATTTTAGTGAAGCGTTTGGCAGGGCCAAAGGGGCATGTTGTTTGAACTAAATAGCAGAATAGCAACTTGTAACTCCTAATGCATGCAGCAAACCTTCAAAGCTTCGGTGGGTAGATTGGAAGAAATCAAAAGTCCACTTTCAGCAGAGGATTGCAGCAGAGAAACTCTGAGCGTGGTTTCTACTGCTGTCCAACACAAACACATTAGCTGTTTTCCACTGGTTCCATTTGTCTTACACACAGATTATTCAGCAGTCCGTGTCATGTGGGGGTGATGGTTTTTTATGCGTATGTCGTTTAATTTCTTTCATGTGGTTCTCTAACCACAAGCTGGTATTAAGCCATTGGGACCAGGCCACTTTCCAGATACCTAGCGGCCGGACACTGAATCAGCGCGAGCTGGAATCTCCTCTCCGTCCATAGAAAGCAGCGATGTGCACTGTTGTTCCTGAAGTTTATTTTAGCTTATATACGTTTGTTTTGGAATAGAGGGTCCTAGCTTTTGCAGTGCGTTTGTTCCACTGAATTCACTATTAGGTATCTGTGCGAGACGGAATTGCCTTACTCATTTCCACAGTGTGTGAACTTGCCGTTTGCCGCTAGGGATGGAAACCTGGCCATAGCGTACGCACGTGGTTGTGAGATCAGAAGTTCGGAGCAAAGAAATTAAATTCTGAGTACAGCTTTAATGTGTTTAGCCATGTTGAGATCTTATGTTTTCATGATAAGCATGTTTGTATATATGTTTTTATTACATTTTCACTGTTTTTGTTTTGCTGATGTTTGCTGTATTTAGGAGTTAGATGGGCATCAGAACCATTGCAAAATGCTCAGGTTCTGCTGATCTTGCCCGCCCTGCTGTCAGTGGCCATCTCGGTGTACAGGCCACTGAGTTTTTGTAAGCTTCTCTGAGCTTTTTACATGTGCCTCATAACTAATGCTGCAGGTTAAAAGTTATTGTTAAATAATAAAAAATGCAATTAATTACGTTAGTTATAAATCATCCAAGCAGGGAATTAAAAAAAATGCTAGGTTATGAACCATCGAATTTCCATAAATGGTTATTGCTTCTTACTTCAGTAAAATTATTCATAGAAATTGAAAGGACTGAGAAATTAGAATATACTTTGCGTTTAAAATGAGTATGGAAATGTTTTCAACTCCCTCCTCCTACTACTTTTTTTTTTTAAATTTTGTTTCATACAATTTGAAAGATGCATTTTTATATCAAAGCTGTTCTTTAAAATGGGGAAGAAGTAGTAGATGAAAATTCAGCTGTAGCCTTAAGGCTTCAGGAGGATAAGGTGCAGTCATATTAGCTATCTGGTGGCATGTTTATCATCCAGCAGACATTTTGGTGATTACTACAGTCTTCAAGGGAGGGGGGAAAAAACTGGGCTGTATTTAGAATCTTTTATATATTCTTCACTGAAACTTGTATCGCTTTGTGAACCAGAAAAGCGTTCCATTAAAAACAGATGTTTGCCGTGCTGCCCTTGAGGGGCTAGCATGAGAAGATGAAGGCAAGCAGTGATTATTGTTCTTTTACTTGCTTTTTTTGTTTAGTGGAAGTGATACTTATTGGAATTCTCCTCTCTCTAGGTGGTTTGTTTTGGATGCGGAAACGAGGGATCTGGTTTCAATACACACTGATGGCAACGAACAGCTCTCAGTGATGCGCTACTCAGTAGGTAGGCAGACTTGTACGTTCAGAATAATCACTGATAAATGAGATGTCTGTTCTGTTAAACGCTGTTAAACTACTCCCCAGTCGCTAGAAAAGGCAGAGCTTTGAAAAAAATCGTTTAAGATGCTTAATGTGTAACTGAATACTTGGTTACAGATTTGTTTGGGTATGCTAAATCTTGGAGTTTTGTAACTGCAGTCATTACAGTCACCTTTCCCAGCCTTTCCTTTATGTTGAACTGTGCTATTATAATAAATGTTAGCTTTGGTCCCGGCAAAATTAAAAGTTCTCAACTAAATAGTTGACAGGTTAACAGAAAAGTCTGTAGAAAGCCTAGTATTCCAGTGATATTTTAATATACTTCATAGTTAATTTTCAAGTTTATGAGTACAAAACCATAAAACTAAGCTCAGGTCTGTCTGAAACTCAGAGCTGTTTGATAAGTATTTGCTACGGGATTACATGGAGTCCAAGCCAATATTGAGTCTCCTCTTCAGACGTGACATGACAGATCATCAGAGGCTGACTTCTCTCTTAAAACTGAATGGGAGAACACTCCTGTAAATCTGTTTCTTGTTTGCTTTTGGATAACATGCCATGTCAGTGGGCAAAATGTTCCTCTGCTGCTGCCACATCTGCCAAGCGCCACAATTTATTTTAAAGCACATCAGTTCATTGACAGTGGAGGTGTTTGTTCGTGATTCAGGGCAACTCTTGTCCACATACTTTTTTTTTAAATGGAGACAACACAGGTTAGAAAACTGCTTACAATGTTTGAATGCTCCACTTCTTCTTTAGACATTATTTGGTGCTGATTTATATGTAATCCCCCTCCCCCCAAAGCTAAGCAAACTATAGAGTAAATACTGTTCTGCATTTTTTGTGATGTGGAAAACTCAAGCCTGCCTGCTGTTGACAATTTCCAGAAATCCAGTGCAGTCTGAGGATTTATACCTTGTCCATTGGACACTTACTTAAAAAAAGCAGAAGTGAAAAAACTTGCCCAAAACCATACCCACAAAGTTAATGGATACTGCCTGAAAAACAACATAATGTAAACAGTTATGTATCCTTAAATATAACTTATAAGCAGTAGTTTAATTGAGCCTATTGTCTTAGTGACAAATCTGAAATCATTAAAATTTGGAAAACAAACATTCTGTTAATTTATATCAAATATTTTGTGTTGTAGATGGCACCTTACTTGCAGTTGGATCCCATGACAACTTTATTTACCTCTACGTAGTAACAGAAAATGGAAGAAAGTATAGCAGATATGGAAAATGCACTGTAAGTTTTGGAGCAAATATAATCAGCAGTTCTTGCATTTTGATATTATACATACACTAAGATGTTAAGCAATGGAACTCTTTCCAAGTTGGTGCTTTTCCGTTTTTAGTTTTGGTTATAGGCTTTATGGGATTTTTTTTCAGCATTTGATTGATTTTAAACTTCAATCTGATGGGTACTGCAACCATTAGTGTTAGGTGAACACTTTTGCATCAAATATGACTAATTTCTCAGACTATTTACTTTTTCTTTGAAATGGGAAATTAGCAGTAAGATGGAGAAATGGCTTGTACCTATATGCTGAAACTATTTCAGGGAAAATATTACACTTGTTTGGGGGTGTTTTCCCCCTGTTAGTTAAGTACTCCTTGGACCAACATAAAATTAGATGTTGGAATTTCGTTAGAATATATAATTTTGGAGATAGCAAATACACAGTTTTCAGCTGTAATTGTTACTCCAAAATTTGGAACTGGGAGATATGTTAACAATAAATTTTTGGCACAGGGTAAATAAATGTAAGTGTAGCACAAATAGTGGAGTTTGTATTAGTCCTTACGCCTACATGAGGTTTTCCCAGTTCTAAAAGGACATACTTTTTTTTCTTAAGTGGTTAGTTATCTAACATCCTGGCCTTAAGTTCAGCTGTCTCTTTAGGTCAGTGGGAATATTTAGATGAAGAACATCTGAATCTTAATGGGATTTGCAAATGATATTGTAAGAACAGGTTTACATTTGACATGTGAATTTTGTTTTTTAATGAATGCATCCCCTACTCAAAACACTTTTCATATGTTTGTCACCAATTGCATTTCTTTAGTTCTAAAAATAAGAGAACTTCTCAAGCTGCTTAGTTAATTTGAAAATGGGATGTAAGGGGACCATAAGGCTAAATTGTGGGGGGGTTAAGGTTTTTTTTTATTTCTAAGATTTTTTTTTTAATCATTAGTATTATTATTATACATTATATACAACCTTTGCTGCAAGACTTGCAGTGCAAACTGTTAGGGGGAAACAAACAGGCATTAGCCAGTCCTTTAGTGCCATGTATGGTATCTTTGAGAGATTTCTACCCATCATTTGGCTGAGGACCCCCTGCGCTGCTAGAGCATGGGGGTCCAGAGCAGCCTGGGTGCAGCTGCTGCTGGGGGCATGGGGCTGCCAGGGCGGTCAGCAGCGGTGGGTTTGCTCCGTCCCTGTGGTGTGCAGGCTGGCAGGGAGGGCTTGACGCTGGCATGGGATGTGGGTGGGAGGGAAGGCTGTTGGGTGTGCTGGAGACTCCTTGATGGCAGGGTTGTGGTGCAGGGTGAGCCAGGGCATCCTGCAGCCCCCGAGCAGGGTGGCAACAGGGTTAGCTGATAGCACAATGGTCGTGAGACGAGAAATCGGGTCTGCAGCCTTCCCAGGGAGCTCAGGCAGTGGGGAAACGACTGAGCCTACGGGGAGGTCAGACTGGGGGCCCAGTGGGGCTGGTGGGGACAGCAGCAGACAGCTGCGCCTCAGTACAGCATTTCACCCCGTCACTTTATTTTTTTAAACCATAAAAGATAAAATCACTCAGAGATGGCTAATCTTAACATACGTAATATTTAGCTTGCTGTGTACTTCAAGGTCTCTGTGAGCTCTTTGAAGATGTATGAGATCATTCATTTCTGCATATCGTATGTATTATGTATCAGGAGAGAGCATATTGTAATTTAAACCAGCATCTGTATATCTGCCTGTCCCTCTGCCTTGGCAGGAAAGAGGTTTGTAAAAATTGGGATGGGAGAAATGAGCATTGTTATACTCAGGCAGAAGCTTTAAGGCTTCAAAGCAGATTTCTGTTAACCATTGTTTTCCAGTCTGAGTGACTGCATGTAGCAGCCAAAATTAGCAACCTGGTTTCTGTCGGGGCTGATCTCCCCTGACCCTTCCAGCTTGTGCAGAAGGCAGCAGTGTTGTTAGCTGACCAGAGCTAACGCTGCCGATCGGGTTTCACGTGCCCTGTGCCTCCCCTCTGCTGCCTGCCAGCAGGCTGGCGGGTCCATACCAGCTTGATGCTAAGCAGGGAGGCACCCCGGCATGCTCAGGACCCAGAGTGCTCTCCTGGCTGGTGCCTGGGTGCTGGCACCGCGTCCTTCTGTGTTCTTCTGTTATTCAGTAGCCTTGCGGGTGACTTCCAAGCGGTATGACTCAGTCCTCCTGGTAGTCAACTTCTGGTTGTTTCTTCCAACTTGAATACATTATTTGAATACTTTCAGAAGGATTTGATCTACTGAACCAGCATCAGCTTGTGCATAAGGGCTGTATGCCCACTGTTACACTTAAATCCCCTTTCAGTCACGACCAGGCTTTCTGCTGCTGCCGGAGAGGCGAGCCTCTGACCTGTGAGCGTGTTTCCACAGTGAGGGATGGTGTTGGTTGTGATCAGAAGGAATTTCAGATGAGCCGAAACAACCGTTTCGACTTGTGCAGCTGTTTTTTGAGGGCTCCAGCTATGCAGACAGCAATGTGAAGGTATGGGCTGGGTTATGAACTTCCAGCGTGTCAGCAACTCCAAGGTAGCTGGCGCTGTCTCTGTCTTACATCAAAGATATCTGTTAGCAAAGGAGAAGCAAGCGCCGTGCATTTACCGAGAGGGCTGTGGGGTGAAAGCCACACAGGCAGCCATGCTGAAGTGTTTGATACACTGGACTTAACCTGAAATAGTTAGTGTGCCTGTCCTATAGGCTGTGGGTATTTTGGCCCTTGCACCACTTAAGTCTGAAACAGATAAACATTGCCAATGAAGGAGAGGGTTTCCATTTAGTCAGACAATTTTACTAGTCAGTGATAAAGTGAGTAATTATGTTCATTGTATATAAAGGTACAGAAAAGGAAAGAGTAAAATGTTGCCTTATCAGTGAGCAGCTACCAAAGAAAGATTTTAATAGAAAATGGGATCGTTCTATTGAAAATATTAGGACAATGTTATATTCCAGTTCATCATTTGGTGATCGCCTGCCTGAAGGGATTTTGCAGCATGGAGCCCCCAGGCCAATTGCTTTGTTCCCTCCCCCGCCGCCCCCAGGAATTTTAGCAGCTGCCAAATGTCTGGCAGGATTTAGTAAATGACTGACCAATTCTTTTCCATGTTGGAGTTCGCTTGCAAATTTGAAGACTTGGAAAATAAGGGGGGGGAGAAAAAATCCTAGCCAATTACGCAATTTTTTTTTTTTTAAATACCAGGTTTGCATGTCGGTATCATATATCCCACCCATGACTGCAAAGTAGTTATGTCAATACACAGTTCCTCTGCTTGAGGCAGATACTAGGTCATAAGTAAATAAATCTTAAAGGCTAGCTTTTCTCCTAAATGTTTTTGCAGTCTCTCACAGAGGACTGGGGGACGGGGAGACAGACACGGGTGTATTTCTACAAGTAATTCTGGAAGCAATCAGCATCTCGTAGAGCTCTCTGTAGAGGAAGTTGGCGTGGTGGGTGGCGCGGCAGCCAGCGCAGAGCTCCAGCGTGGCCCTGGCACAGCGGGTGCAGGCTGGGCCAAGAGACCTTGCGGGGGGGCCGAGAGACGCCAGCTTCATAATGCCTACCGAGAGAGGGCGATGAATTGGCATCTGTCAGTCAGGAAAGTGGTGTTTTGTTGGCTGGCAGAATGACTAGGAAGGGGAGAAAATGGATGGTCTTACAAGGGGAAGAAGAACAGTAAGAAGAAATGGAAGGGTAGAAGAAGAAAAGAGTGAAAAGGACATAACTTTTATTACTATCCTACCCTTTCCTCTACAGAGAAATAATTTATTCCTACCTTATACATATTTGTGGCTTCTCTGGAGCCTCTCATATATTTATTGTTACTATTATTATTATTAATACCAACAAAAAAGTTCATGCACAGGAAATAAATTCTGACAGCTGCATTTAGCTTCTCCCTCAAAACCAAAAGATGGGTGTTTAGCCCTCAGTGTGCTCTTGATGGTGATAACTAAGAAATTAGGCCAAAGTGTTCTGATTCTTATATATATATGACCCTGTGCCTATAGGGAAGACTCCTTTTGAAGCTGGCAGTAACATGCATGCAGTGTAAGGACGACAGCAGAAACTTTCAAAAAGCTTACGGGGGTATTCTTGTAACACCAGTCCTTGATCTTGTAGTTTTACATGGTGGCTGTTAACCAAGGTATCCTAAGTTTTTAGGATGAGCAAAGTTTATTTGAATGTGTGTGCACATGTGTTATGTTTCTGATGGGATCTAAAAATCAAGTAGGTTACTTGCCTTCCTCAATTGGTAGCAATGTATACTTTCTTAATTCAAGTACAAATGTGAGTTCATCTGTATTTTAGCAATGTACCTTCTAGGAGTAAATCATTCTGGGGTCCAAGAGGGCTGACACCGTTTACAAGTGAAGAATCCACCATGCAGTGGGAGAGGCACGATGCCCAGCCCGTGTTTGTTTAGCTGTTAGCGAGTGTGGCACTGGTGAATAAGGAGCCTTTAAAGGAGCACAAGTGAATTGTGGCAGACCTGGGGTGGGTGGGGAGGTGCCTTTTTGCTGTTAGCTGTCGCATCCAGGGGTGCAACTTCTGCTTCTGTTTGAATTAAAATACGTGTTTCACGTTGGTGTTACTGCATTCTTCTCCAGGGACATTCCAGCTATATTACACACCTTGACTGGTCCCCGGACAACAAGTATATAATGTCAAACTCAGGAGACTATGAAATACTATACTGTAAGTATGAAATTAAATACACTGGAAACAGAAGTATGTATTAGCTGTCAGAATATTTAGAAGAGGGTGTTTGATCAGGACTGTACAAAATGCTTACTGACAAAGGAACCAGTTTGAACTTGTGTAACCTGATATCTTGATGTTATTCAGAGCTGTGTATTACCTAATGGCAATGCCAAATATAGCTTACTTCTTTACAAGGTCATAAATCAGTTTAACAGCGTAGAATTTACAGAACAAGTGGCACCATGTTTTGATGTTGGCCCAAAGTTCTGTAGATTGAAAATAATATACACAGTTGTCTAATTAGTGTCAACAGTGTCAGTTATTCTGGGGGAATAAAATCAGTGGGTCTGTGCCACTGTTCTGTTCTGGGGTTTCCTTTTTTTAAACTTTATCTTGGCTGGTGGTATTGAAAACTAAGCAAAGCAATAATACTACTTTAAAGTGTTATGGTAATAATGTTTTTTGTGTTTGTCTTTTTTTAATACGTGAAAATATGTATTTAATATATAGTGGTTGTGTCAAAAGTTCAACTTGCATAGTGCATATCAGTCTGTTTTTAAATTGGTTTTTATACTCATGTCTTCCTGTGGCTTTAACAGGATCCAAGAGGATTGTAGTTCTGTCCCTGTATAGGCAAGAAGAGCCATCAGTTTAAATATCTGTCACCTTAACATGTTCTTTCTGTCTGTCACAACTTAGGTGTTAAATCTGGATAATGCAGTATCTCAAGCTACCAAAAGGATGTGTTGGTGTTTATAATTGCCTGTATAGGGAGGCAAAGAGCTGTGACCCATTAGTGCTGGGCTGGTGTATTGAAAGATGGACGTTCTTTTCGGAAACATTATTTCCTTTCCTAGTTAGAAGTTGAAAAGCAGTCTAAGGCTCCTCTGGCAGTAGTTTCTTACTGTTAAAAGCAGAGCTTCCTGAATGATTGATTGAATTTTAGCACATCAATGGAGCCTGGTAGGAAGGAGAAATTATGCTATTACAGACTCTATTAAAGCATTTTGTAGAGTAGGTAGCAGGGGACCCAAGCTGCAGGGAAGTGTTTTCGAGGTATGCTGATCTGAAGAGGGAAATGAGAAGTAAACGTGACTCTTAAATATCGAGTGAAGCTTTGAGTATCTGAAATTTGGTAAAGGTACTGGTCTGTCTTTGCGTCTACAGTATCATTCCAGATTGGTTTTAAGATGTGTTTATTTACTGACTTAGCACCTTCAAAGAGCACATATGTAAATATAAAATTCTATGGCATAACTCATCATTCACTTTTTTTACAGGGGACATTCCAAGTGGCTGTAAGCTGATCAGGAATCGTTCTGACTGTAAGGATATAGATTGGACGACATACACTTGTGTGCTAGGCTTCCAGGTGTTTGGTAAGCACCACTTAACTTACTTTTAAGCTATTCACACTGTGCTTTTGTGTTTTCTTTTGCTTCAATTTGTCATTAGAAATATGCTGCTAATGATTATTGAGGATGGTGCCGAGATGACAGACCAAATGACTGGCCACAATAGTTGTCTGTGATACAGAGTGCTGGATGCTCTATAGACAATGTATAATTGATTTCTATTTAGTCTTGAAGTTTGGGATTTGATTTTTCTGCTGTCATTTTAGGGTACCAGTTTTGGAGGCACTGAAGCAAAAAGCTGGTATTTTAAAGTGCTCTTATCACACATGTGCATTCTCCTTTGCTTACCTTGTTTTGGGATAGGAACAAGACTATGTGAGTGTAGGTTATAGTTCATGACTTAAAATCATGACAGCACTTTGATACCTGTAGTCAAAGGTGAGTAATATACACTGCTTCTAAAGAGTAAAAATGCTTTAAAGATTAAACAGATTCTTTACCTAGTAGTTTATTTTTTAAAGGTACAAAAAAATTTACAAAGCTGACAGATCCGATTTTAATAGTGCAGTTTGAGACTGTGGCCAAACAATTCAAACTGCTTTTGTTGAAGGGCAGCTCTGTTGGCCATAAATGAGGACCCCCGCTGTGAGGGGCTGAAAAGTGTGGTTCAGCCTGTCAGTGTTGTAAAACCAAGTTGTGTGAGCAGGATGCCGAATGTCTCGCTTCCATCACTGAGATCAGATACGTGTCTCTGTTCTTCATGTTGTTGGAAACATCAAAAGCGGGTAAATCAGCAAATTCTTTAGAGGTGAGGGTTAGGTCTACAAATCTTTTCTTCACAGCTACTAGGAGTTCAACTTTGAATATCAGTTTATATGCAGGGTAGAAGAAAATCAGTTAAGTCTAAGTGCTTTCTGTAGCTTCTGACACCTGTCGTGCATATTTTAGGACTGTCGTGCTTAATGAGCAAGTAGTCTTAAAGGATTGCAGTTGATTTGTGGGCTAACACTGACACTCTTGTGTGGCATATTGGTTGGGTGGAGGGCATTTGGTGCTTTATAACCAGGCTTGGTTTCCTTTCTGGGTACCAAAGATCTGAGGCAGAGCAGGGAAAATAAAGTGGTCAGAGAAGGAAGCTGACTGGTTGATAAAATCCATAAATATTTTTGAGTTGTTTGGAGCTTGAGGTAGGTAGCAGAAATAAACAGGAGCATGCTGTTTCTGGATCTGAATACTGTTGCTTATTGCTAGTTTGATGAAAATATTGGGTCCCGTTAGTCTGAGAACTATGAACCGGGTTGTGTACGTGTTTGTTTTTACTGAGTCTGGCTGAAGTAGGGAATGGATGGCTGTTTCCTCCTGATACCCTGTGCATGTAAGCCTAGGCTGACAAGGAATTGGTCCACAGCAGTCGTTTCCTCACTGTCTTTGCTACTGCAACTGAAATAATAGTGCAACACAAATGTCTTTTTTAAATGGAGTATCAGAAGATTCTGGAGACTCTAGAGAAAGTGAAAAGCAAAACTCTGTCTGACACTAATATGTCTTTCTCCAGGAGCCGTGAAAACACTTTGTAAGGACTAAATATTCCTTCTGGAATAGCCTTGGAGCTGAAGCCATTTTACGTTTTATGCAGAGTACTTAAATCTACCAGAAACGTGGAGGTAGCAGTCAGTGGCTCTGTTGCTCCTGAACCTTTACCACTACATCTGGTGGTAGAGCAGATAGAATAAGGGGAGCAGCTCTCTGAATCCCAGCACTTTCACAGAAGTGTTCTTTATTCCTGACCGAAGGAGATGAGGTGTAGGTGTGCAGAAAGAGTTTGGTTTCACATCTAGACCATTGGCTTTGCCTCTTTTACAGCTGTTGGATAGAAGCTACTGATGAATCGGGCCAGGCTGGCGATGAGCAGCTCCCATAACTGCTGTTTTGAGAAGCCTTTTTACTTTTAGATTTTAAAAAGTGGATAAGTCTGCTAATCCTGTCTGCATTCCTTTTTGGATTAATACAAACTTTAACTACTCTGGATTAAGTTTAATTAGTCTCAACTGCTCTCAAAATCTTCAGTGTTCCAGAGGACCTGGGAGTGAAGCAGATAAAGCAGATAATGTGATGTTATTCTGGGGCAGAACAGAATCTATTTAAACTTCCTAGCCAAGATTCATTATGCTTTAATTTTATATTGTCTGGTAGTCTGACACCCTTTGCACAATCTTAAAATTGGTCTTGGTCTCAGACAATGTCAAGTATTTTCCCATTAAATCAGACAGTGCAGCTAAGCCAAACTAGCAGGTATTTGCTGCCCAACGGAGAAGTCTGGCTTTGACCCGAGGGTCAGCTGGCTCAGGGGTCCAAACAAGCTGGGGGCTGCTCACTTCGATGTTCAGGAAAGAGGGTTAAGTTTATGGGATTTTGGCTTTGGGGGGTATGTGTTTTACTAATTTAGCTCTGTGGTTAGTGTGTCTGTAGGCTCAGGCATTGCACTGTTGTCAGCAGAAGAAAGAGGATGGAAATGCATGGTTTGGATGAGAATAGCATCGCTCTTTTTTGGCAGTTGATATTACTATATTGGCTCAGCAGTATCATCAGTCTGCACCCCGAGCACTTGAAGTCACACTCTCGTTTTCTGCACATTTCCCACACTTTTGTCTGACCAGATTCTTTTGAGAGGCTTACTGCTGGCTAACAGAATTTATCAAAATTGAAGTGCTGCTGTCATACCTAATAACCAAGTCCTATTATTTTGTATTTTTTGTTATTTTTACAGTTATTAAGAACTAAGAACTTGGTCATATTAATGTCTTGTTTTTCCCATGTTTGCCTGATGCATTGAAAGTGAATCCTGCTGTCTTATGACAAAAGGTTGTCTTACCTTTAGAGCTGCTAAAGGAATTTGTGAACATAAAAGATGTTTAATAAGAGATGCAATCTTGAATATTAGTCTTTTTAATCTTAAATTAAAAAGAAGAGGAAATAGCATAGCTCTTTGGCACAGTCTGCCTAAGGTGGTAGCTGAAACTTCAGGAAACTGATTTGAAGTGCATTTATTACTCCCACCTGATGACAGTATTTTATAGATAGAATGCAGGAGAAAGTTAAAATTCATTCATTTTGAGCTACTTGAAAATTTTTAAATAGTATATATTTTTCAGGTTGGTTTCATTGATGCGAGAGCACTAAAATGTTTCTGAATACTTTCTTTAGCATTTCATGTCTTTATTTAGTAAATTACCTACAATGTAGCTTATTGGCATTGTAACAAGCTTAACAAGCTGCCTTTGTTATTCTTCAGAGAAAATAAAGTTCTTACTCCACCCACTGAAGAATGGAAAAAACCAACTTTAAAGTTAAACACTATTTGTCATTTTGCTTAAAAAGAAGATGAGGTAGTGTGGGAGTTTGAAAAAGATATGGCAATTCTAAGTTGGCATTTTGTGCTGTATAAAATAGTAGATAGCACAAGTTTTTTATTTTACCAAAGTCAGTGATTGTAAGGGAGGAAGAAGATATTTTCATATCTGATAATGGACATCCCTCTCAGTCAGTCAAACACACAGTTTTTCGGGGTGGGGGCTGAAATTTCAGGGGGTTAAATTCTTCCTAACTCCTGAACTAATCAGAAACCCAAGTCTGAGCTTTAAAAATATGGTATCTTTGGCATAAATTAGTGTCTTATAACCCCTTGTTTTCCTTTTGTTCAGCTTTTCTTGCAGATGTGAATCATCAGTTTAGTTATGGAAATCTCTAGGGTCTTTATTTTTTGTTAAAACTTAGAGCCTCCCCCCTCCCCAATTTGTTCAGTGCTTTTCATCCAGGCAATCTTGTTATTCTTTTGTCTAGACATATCTGTGTCATTCTTTTCACTTAAAAGCATATTGAATTGTACTTAAGCACTTGACAGCACTTACATCTATGAAACTCATACAGGCTGGGTTTCTGTGCAAAGTATCATCAATCAGTGGTCTCCTTTGAGTCGTGCAAATATTAAAAATTGCTCCAGATTTAAAATAAAACCAAAAGAAATCTCTGCATAACGGACAGAACCGGGGCTTGTTCCATGCTTCAGCATCAGTCTTGCTTTTAAAATGTTTGTGCATGAATGAAAATGTCAAGAGTTGTCAGTTTTAGCAGCAAACTTCAGATAAACTTTCAACAAAACTGAGGTTTTGAACAGGAAACATATCAAGCCCAAGAGGTTATCCTGGCCAAGGCTGAGGGTTTTGGGGGCCAGAGGGTGGGGGAGCAGCATTAGACTAGCAAAATATTAATGACATTTAATGCAAGGCATATGCCATTTTCCAGTTGAATGTCTTATTTACCTTTTGTTAAGCTTGCCTTTTCTCACAGCTTTATAGATTTTGTTTTCATTTATGGATTGTCTTTTAGTTTGTTTCTAAAACTACCATCACTAAATATCTACTCGAATCTCTCCTAGGAGTTTGGCCCGAAGGATCAGATGGGACAGACATAAATGCCCTTGTCAGATCCCATAACAGAAAAGTGATAGCAGTTGCTGATGATTTTTGTAAGGTCCACCTCTTTCAGTATCCCTGTTCCAAGCCAAAGGTAAGTCTAGACCAGTCTAGTCTATGTGCTTGTTTGCATTGCATGAAGCTTCCTTGCCAGACACCTGCTTCCAGCTCGGTCGTTTTGGAACCTGGCAGCCAAATAACTCATTTATATCTGAGAGCAGTGCTAGAGACAAAAGCATGGTTTTCCCCATTAAGTTTAGGTATAAAATAGAAAACATAAAATAATATAAAATACAAAATAATATACCTAAAAGTGAAGTTGCAATAGTTATCCTGAAGTTCTGGAGCTTGATGCTTTCTGTTGGTGGCCTTGGTGTTAAGTCCATTGCTTTTTGCATAAAGATCTAAATCTGTCCCGAGTTACAAGCCTTAAGAAGAGAGCATGTATTTTGGGGGGAAACCTAATATAAATATAATTCTTTACTCTTACATGAATAAATAGCTCTCTAGAAGGGCTAAGCAGAAGTAGTAGTAGTTTTAGATTTCAGTACCATGTGCTCTTCTAGTCAAGCATGTGATTTATCTTTCTGCTTGTTTTTGATAGGCTCCAAGTCACAAATACAGCGCTCACAGTAGTCATGTGACAAATGTCAGCTTCACCCATAGCGATGGTCACTTGATTTCAACTGGAGGGAAAGACATGAGTATTATTCAATGGAAACTTGTGGAGAAGGTAACTCTACCACAAAATGACATTGTCGTAGACATAGGTGCAACCAAAGTGCCCATCCCTGCCAGTGAAAACGCTGTACAGTCTCCTGCGCCTCTCCCACAGCCTTTTAACGAAATGAACCAAAATGAAAGTGTAACTGGCAGCTCTCCGGCTTCTTTGGAGAGCAACTTGGAGCAGTCCGCGGAGGCCAGCGAAGAGCAAAGCGAGGAGCAAAGCGAGGGGAGCAGCCTGGATCCCGCTGAGCCGGGCTACGAGGAGCCCTCCAACGAGACGAGCGAGGAGCACAGTGAATCCACGGTCACTGAAGAGCAGCAAGATAACTCACCGGTGTCTTAACGCTCCCAGCTCAGGCGGTTGTTATTTTCCCTTGGTGTGCGTGCTTTCATTACAGGGTGAGGGTTCAAATAGGGAAAAGTAGCTGAGATTCACGACCACTCCAGCTTTTGAGTTTCAGTGAGATTTTTTTAGTCTGAGCTTCAGTTCAATGTGTGGAACCATCCCAAGGGCCTGGCTTGATGGTCTGTGTCAAGATCTGGTCACAGTTAGTAGTGGACGTTACTATAGATCCATTTCAGTTCTGAAATTGGTGTCAGGATGTGGCATGAAATACATACTGGAAAAAAGGTTAGCTCTGAGAATTAGCTGAAGTAGACCACCTTAACTATGTGAAAGTGCTTTCTGAAAGAACGAGGCTAATGGGAAGCGCTGAGCTGTTTCAGCTGGGGAGTAGTAGTACTGTGCTGCTTTTTCCAGGTGCGAAGACAAACAAAACAAAAAAACAACCGAAAAGGTCTTTGTAGGGCTGTTTTCCTTTGTTTTTTCTTACTGAGAAAAAGAGAGGAAAAACAATGTAACAATGCCACATGTATGGCAATGCCTTCTTGATCTAACACATATGCAATTTTCTAACACTACTAATTCCTAGTGGAGTCGGGATGTGCTTGCAGTTGGTCTGCCCTGGGTGCTGCTAGTTCTAAGGCAAATCCTGTCGAGGAACGGTGCCGGCTGTTCCATTTTCGCAGACAATAACAGACTAACCAAATACTGGCGTGTTTCACTTTTCATGACCTGAAAGTTGATTTAAACTGTAGGATGTAATTGTCTCTTCAAAGAATTGCTTGCCTAGAGAGTTTGAAACTTGAGAGTCTTTACAGTGACTTTGATGTGAAGAACAGAGGAAGCGTAGCAAGAACACAGAAGTCAGATGGGCTCCAGAGTTCAACTTTAAGCCTTCAAACAGAACTTGCTCCTTCCCTAGTAGGAGAAATATAAATACAGTTAACTTAAATTATTAAATTGGTGCTTAGGATTAGTTGTTAAGTTGATAATTTTTTTCTTCTGAGTTTTTAGAGGTAACTCTAAGAATCATTGAACTGCAATCTTTTTTTTTTCCCCTGGCTCCTTTAGCAGTTGTGATATAAGCATACAGTAATTTAGATGATGATGTGATTTCCCCCCCCCCCCCCACTAGACTTGCTGATCTGTTATTTTTGTGATTTCTGTTTCTACCCCACCCCTCCCCAGCTTGCTCTAAGCCATGCAGCTCTCATGTGGCTATACCTGGCCAGTTACGGGATATCTTGGCATTTGTTATGCATTTGGAAAGTACTTTTTTTTACGGAGTTTGTCAGATAGCTACATTTTTTTCTTAAGTGCATACGTTTCCTACTTTAAAAAGATACAGATTTACTGACAGATAGCCATTTCCTATGTACTTGTTTATATTTTGATTACATAGAATCTTCTTTTTTTAACTTGCTGCATTGTGCTGGTATTTTAGTTCTTAGTTAGAATATCATGTTTAGAAACTTTGGATGAGTTCATAAGTCTTAATTGTGCAAGCGTTTACGTGATTGTGCCATTCCAAAGTGCATCAAAACTGTCATTCCCTTACTAGTATCTTCTCAGGAGAAATGCTACAGATCAGGTATTTAGTCATCATTTGGAAAGATAAAAACAAATGGACTCCCAAAGGACATTTAGAACATTTATATATAAAATATATAAATATATATATACACACATATATATATATAAAAAAAAATATCCTCTTGTTTACTACAGTTCCAGAAAACCTCAAAGTAATTCCCTTCAGATGGAGGGAGATATGGATTCCAAGCAACCCATCTGTTTAAACTGTGCTCTGTACATAGAGTTTTACTGGAGAGCTCTAGTATGCCTGACTTGCAAATTTGCCAAATAGCAGCAATGGAAGATAAAGGTCAACTCATCAAAGTACTTGGTTCCAAATGAGGAATATGCTGTAGGTTTAGAAAATAATCTTAGTAAAGGAGAAAGGATTTTAGAGCTAACAAGGCACAGAGCTCTCTCTGTCATTTTTTATGAACTCCACGTAAGCAACACATTTCTTTTTGGAACATCTGCCACCTGGGGTTGCCATGTAAAGTGAGAGTTATAGTTGTGATATTCTTGTGTTTGTAGTTCAGAAGACTCTACTAATATGCAAAAAGCCTTACAGCTTTCAATTGCTGGCAACTACTGTTTAACAAATAATTAAATCTGTGATAATGGATGGAAATGGGTGGGATTATGTAACTGTAGATGTTTTAGAAAAATAATTGTGAATGAATTATGATTAAGAGTGTTTCATGTGAAGATGTTTGAGCCATTTCTATCTATCATGCATTCCTGTCTCAAGGCAGAAAATTTTGAAGATTAAAAAAAATAAAATAATCAAAATAATATAGTGCAGTGTCTTTCTCCACATCTGTTCTGGGTCCTTCTGTACATAAAGCGGTTGCTGTGATTGCAGTTGCAACGTCTGGGTCTATGATTCTGGAATAAACTTTCTAACTTGTGCTTTTTCAATAACCTCCCAGACTGCCTAAAAATAAGCTAATTCAGCATCATGAATAATGCTGGCACTCCTAAATATGGATCTAGTTTACTTTTTGAAAGTTTTATGACATTTCCCTTTTCTATTTTTGATCAATAGCCTACTAGCATTATCCTGCTGTAGCTAATTGATGGGCAGCAGGGGATTACAAATAAATGTTTGTCCTGATGCGAAGTTCTGCCAGAAGCCTTCTTCTGGAAGTCATGTGAAAAGTACAAGCTTATTTTGGATGTAACATGTTAAATACCTTGCTTCCACATTCCTGATAGTCTCTGTCCAATTGCAGATGCAGAAGGTCACAATATGCTTAATATATTCCTTGTGGAAGATTCTCAGTCGTCTTTTAAAAGGCTTTGAATCATCTCCATTTCTTGCAGCTGGTTTCTGTCCTTCACAAAAGGGGAGGGTTGGGTGGAGAAGAAAGAAACCTCCAAGAGAGACAAATACCTCATGTTTATCCTTGCTTAAAGGAAAAACAAACAAACAAACATCACTGCCGGCCCCTGAGGCTGACTGGGAACCTCAACGACTCTTCTTTTCCACCAGATTGTCAGGAGAATGCTGCTGTTCTAACTTGAGGAACAAGCAGATGTCCTGGTTGGTCGTGCTGTGCTGTTCCCAGCACAGCCGCAACATCGTATACCACTTTGCATTGGGGGCAGCTGTGCAGCGGTGTGCTTTTCTAAGCTCTGCTCCCTTTCTCCCTAAATTCAGCACAAGGCTTTTGCTACACCTTCTCCTGGGATGCTCTGTAAGGCAGGAGTCTTCCTTAAGAGTAGGTAATCGTGTCCTCCTGAAGAGGAGGTAAGCTGGTCTTCTGTGAGCCTCCCTCCTGGTGGAGGCAGGATAGGGCTCCAAGTACCCCCTCTTATTTGGGACAGCAGCATCTGCTGCCAGCTTAAGTAGCTGCCGTGATGGTATTTGTCATATGGAGCTGAAGTTCAGGGTGGAAGCTCCACTGAAGGCATAAAACTATAAAACAAAACCCCATTTTACATGATTGAAACTTTAAGTTCAAATGCTTCATTAAAATGGGTGTTTAGGTTGCATAGTAAAATACTTGAATGTTAGGAAATACCAAGCTTGTGGATTCTTGCACTATGCGTCCATATTGGGTGCATGTCGTGCAAGTGATAGTAATTGGATTTTGCATTTAAAGGGCACTTTTCAGGATATGACCAAAAACTTTGGGTTTTTTTTCCTCCCATAGAAGTTGCAGGATAGGTGAGGAAGAGACTGGACGTGTGGATGGTGTAATGATGAACCAAGCATTTCTTAGCTTTGATCTTACTGTAATTCGCATTATAACTAACAAGTACGAGTTTTTGCATATGATGCATGTCAAGTTCCAGCCTTTTTTTTTTTTTTTTTTCTTTCTTTAAATCTTCCCTGGAATGTGTGGATTCTGGCTTTGTTTCTGAAAATAAGGCAAAAATTAAATTTTGATTGTTGTATTGATTACAGTCTACGCTGAACAGTATGTTGTATTTTCTACTTTGTGCTTCACCCCATAAGATGTGTTACACCCCCTTATATTTCGTACCATTCAGCGCAGGATTTCAACTGAATCAGGATAAAAATAAGTAGAATGTCCTTGTGAAATTTAAGCTTGGCCAGAGCCAAACAAACAACAAATTCTCTTTTCCGCTGCCTCACGCCCATAAAATGTTGGTTCATGGCAATGAAAGGATTAATATTGCATGAGGTGGATTTTATTTGCGCGATGTTTGTGCTGCTTGTTTGCTTTCCTTCTGGGCAAGTCCGAGCCCATTGCCTAATCTTTATTCTGACAGATGGTTTATGTACTAATACTTTAATCAACTGAGAATGAAAAACTGCTTACAGTAGGATTATACAATTTAGATGACTGGGCAGTGTACACATTTGAATGCATTTAATATATATGGTGGTGTCTTTGTGTGCATGCACGTATAAAAGCATCAAACAGATATGGCTGCTTAAGGCCACTTCTTTTTTTTTTTGCTTGCTTGAAAGAGAAACGTGGATGACTTCACGGCGCAGTGAATTAAGAAGGTTTAGGAGCACAGGGAAAAAAGGCATTCCCAGCAGGACATCAAGGCAAGAGGACTGGTTTCAGGCGAGAGGACCGGGAGAGGAGGCACGGTAGTTGTACCAGAGCTGCGTTTCCTAGGCTGGGTCCCTGGTACCCTCCTGTGCGGGTCTGGCTGTCCCGCTCTGTTGGGATGGGCTAAGCAGAAGCTCCTGACACATCCTCTAAAAGTTAGTTAGTTTCCTAAGCGGTATCTCACAAATGCAAGTCATTTTCAGGTAAATGAAAAGCCCTTTCAGAGGTCTGCTAACCTCATTACCTTAAACTTGCTCAGTTACCTTAAACTGAGCATAGGCTTCAGATTCCTCTTTATAAAGAGAGAAAAACTTAAAATGGGGAAGCTCGGCTGCCTCCTGGCATGGCTAAGCATGTTACAGGAGCGCTGCGGGGGCAGGAGGGATGAAATGCCCCGTTGAGGAGAGGCTCCAGAGGGTGGATTCTTGTTGCCATTGAAAAAGGAGGGAAGAAATCAAACCAGAACAAAAACCTCCTGATACTGTACATAAGGCACTGTGTCAAAATAACTAAACTGATTTTAAGGAAAGAGGGGACGTTATCACTGGATAATTGAAAAAAAGAAGAATTAACTCTTTTCCCTGCCTCCCACCTGAAATTGTTCTCTGTTGAGTTTTGTCTGTATGCTAAAACCTACAAGAGCTTTCACTTCTTCTGTTGGAAGTACTGGGTGGTTACAGGGTGCTTTTGAGAAACAGCAAGTTTGTGGAGATTTTGGCTGGGTTTTATTTTTAATAAGCAATTCTAGAAAACTCGTTTTCTTCCAAAAAGTTCTACTAACAAACCAAAATCTGGAAAGAGTACCTCTTCAAGGGATATGTGTGTCCTTGTGATTTAAGTGGTGGGGTTTACAGCCCAGTATCCCCTTCAGCAGGGGACCTCTGGGCACTTCCCCGCTCTCACCAGACAAGTGATCTCCTGCGTAGCCAGCAAGGTCCGTGCCTTGTTAGCAGCCTCTGCTGCATACCTCTGGGTACGTCACCTTATTTTGCTCTCCAACAACCACCACGCTTTGTTGGTTCTTTGGGACTGCTGTAAAAACCACTTTCCATAAATTCTTAAACACTGTCTGAATTATAGTCAGTTACATTGTCCCAGCTTTATTTTTTGATAAAGTGCCTTCAAGTTGCTATTTCTAGAACATGCTTTTGTATGGTGAGCCAAGTAAGTGCTCCAGATAGCTCTTGAGATACTGTATTCCCTATTGCAGGATGTTTCAGCAATTTGGTGTTTCTGTCATGCATCACTTGTTTCGCAAGTTGACCTT